TACCACTACCACTACCACTACCACTACCACTACCACTACCACTACCACTACCACTACCACTACCACTACCACTACCACTACCACTACCAGTACCAGTACCAGTACCAGTACCAGTACCAGTACCACTACCAGTACCAGTACCAGTACCAGGACCACTACCACTGCAACCACCACCACCACCACCGCCAGCACCAGCACCGCCACCCTGGAATCCCAAACCTTGAAACTTACAACCCCAGGCCCGTAAACCTATACCCTAAAAAACTAACCCTGCACCCACAGCTCTGAGACCTTGAACGAAAGCCCTCAACGAGGCATCAGCGAGATCTGGCGCGACGACGATGAGCTCGACGCCATTCGCGTCCACGCCGCCACGGTGCCCTGGATTTCCGGGTTGATTAGGAGTGTGTGCAGAGGGTTTACACAGGATTCCATAAGGTTTCAGATGGGTTCCATACGAGGGTTTCGGGCGAAGGGGTTGCGTGTTGAGTGTTGCCGTATGCAGAGGGTTGGGTGTTAGATCTCTAAGCGCGAGTGAAGGTTGCAAGGCGAGAACAAGCTCTACATACCCCAAACCCTAAACCGTAAACACCCTAAACCCTCGACCCTAAACCCTAAACCCCTAAACCCAGACCTAACCACCCGAAAACCCTAAACCCTAAACCCCCTCAAACCCTAAACCCTCGACCCTAAACCCCTAAACCCAAACCCTAACCGCCCGAGAACCCTAAACCCCAAGAGCCGAAGACCTCCGGGGCCACGAGGGTGTGAGAGAAAGAGGGCTTTAGGGTTTAGGGTTTCGGGGTGTAGGGTTTTGGGGTTTAGGGTTTAGGGTTTCGGATTTAGTGTTTAGGGTTTGGGTTTAGGGTTTCGGGTTTAGGGTTTAAGGTTTGGGGTTTAGGGTTTCGGGTTTCGGGCCCCAGTTTGATGAACTCTCGCCGGCCACAGGGCCACGGGCACATGCCCTCTTTACTGCTGATGAAATAAATCCTGCATTACCCATAATAAGGAGTATACCAAAATCCCATAGTATAGGGTCCTTTAAGGTAATGCAGGGTTTATATCATCAACCGTACTTCCTGAATCTACACCCCCAGATGCCCACCTAGCAGAACTCCAAATCCTAAGCTACCCTCGGGTTCAGGGTTTCGAGTTTAGAGTTTAGGTGAAAGAAAGCTTACACGCTGATACTCCCTAGCTGAGAATACCACGATATACCCCCAAAAAACCCAAGTTAAGTTAAGTTTAGGTGTCAAGTGCCCTGGCCACATGATCCGCCAATCCGGTTTCTCGAAGACTTGTTTGTGTGCTTTGAGTCATAAGCCGTCGCCTCCATGCTCTGTGTATTCTTCATTCATGATCCCTTGATGCGTACGGTAGAGCATACTCCAAGCGGCTTTCTAAAAGCCCCAGACCCACATCAGCCAAAGCCCCATTCTGCTCATTCAGGTCTCTGTTTTGCCTAAGCACTGCAACCCTAGGCAGTGATGCTCGTTTTCTCTGCCTTCGTGCTGGAAATAGGCTTCCTTGGGACAGGCACCTTGAGGGTTTGCAACTTTGGGTTTTGGAGTTCTGTGTTTGGTTTCGGGCTTTGGGAGTTGAGGGTTTTGGGCTTTGGGTTGTCCTTGCCAGTTTTGCCGTTGTAGGACTGGCACTACTTATATTAATTCCCACCACTACCTACCCGCTACCTACGACTCCCTGCCACTACCTGCAACTGTATGCTGCTACCACTACCCGCGATCAAGATCACTACACTTAGCACTAACACACGCGCTACCACTGCCACTACCACTTCCGGTACGAGCATGCATACTACGATTGCCTCGACGACTACGATTGTATTGGCTAAAACAAACAACTAAAAGCAGCAACCACCACCACCACCACCACCACCACCAGTAAGCGCCGCAGCAGCGGCGGCGGCGGCGGCCGTAGCAGCGGCAGCGGCAGCACCAGCACTAGCGCAGCAACCGCAATTCGGAGTCGGAGGAGTTGGAGGAGGAGTCGATCGGAGGAGGAGGAGGTAGTATTATTCAGGAATAGTTGCAGTAGTAGTTGCAGCAGTCGTCGTGGTCCTCGTCGCAGCAGCAGCAGCAGCAGCAGCAGCAGCAGCAGCAGCACCAGCAGCTGCTCAGCAGCAGCAGCTCCGGCAGCGGCAGCATAATGTGGATGCTCTCACTGATGTTGATGGTAGCCACAAGTGCTACTTGCGGTAATGACGATGTCGATGGCGGCAATGGTGGCTTGGATCGTGATGACAATACCATCATGGCTGTCTTGACATGACGAATGAGGTTCATTAAGCTGCTGCTGACAAGGACACCTACGGCAGTGATGGGAATGCGAACGACGATGATCATCATGATGATGTTGTTGTTGATGATGATGATGCCCTAAACCCTAAACCCTAAACCCTAAACCCTAAACCCTAATTTCGACCACATGCTGACAAGGTGTCAGGGCCTCAGGGTTTCGGGTTTAGGGTTTAAGCTTTCGGGCACGCTGTAGGGTTTAAGTCTGGGGTTCTGAATTTAGAGGCATCCGGGGAGCAATGGCTAAGGGTAAGTAAGAGACGGCCTGATATTACATTGTTTATTGTATATTGAGTATGACATACTGTGTATGGCATATTACAGTTTACATGTTATATGGTGTATGTTTCATACTAGGCAATATATGTCATATGTTACAAAATGTACACTATGTTCTTACACATTATATGTTCATTTATTATACATTATATGTTATACATCTATATAGAGTTACGTTTATACTAGAAACTACATAGCGTATTGCATAGAGTTCATAAGCTCTACTATTGCATGGCCAGGACTTCTCTTCGGACAAACCGACGACGCGGGCCTTAGCGGACGTATGGCGAACCATCGCTGCTGGGTCCGACAGAAGGTGTCAGCTCGCGGTTCTTTGAGGGTCTGGGATTTAGGGTCTATATAGGATTTAGGGTCTATAGAGTTTGGGGTCTAGGGTCTAGGGTCTAGGGTTTAGGGTCTGGGGTTTAGGGTCTAGGGTTTAGGGTTTAGGGATTAGGGTTAAGGGCTGCTACGAGGGCTAAGGCCTTTTAAGGTTTCAAGATGGCCTTCTGATGCTCAAAAGTCCAGGGTTGAGGGGTGCTGTTCTGGATCTTTTGGTGCTCAGAAGTCGGGTTTCACAGTCAGTTCGTGCGCTGCGCACGAATGTAGGGGCTTCATTAAATAAGTACCTATACTATTTGGGGGTCCCTTATTATTTCTATTGTATAACATTCCCCAAAACCCTATTCTAATTATGAAGGCCTCTAAGAGCTTTCAAGCTCAAGATGCTTTCCAGCTTAGGCACTCGGTCTGTCAACTCTGCAAAATACTGATAGTCGTATCAGCTTGAACCGTCATAGTACTAAATAATAACAGCAACGACACTCATAGTAATTATGGTAGTTGATGCCTGTAATCAGAATAGTTGTAATCATAAGGAAGCCCAAGCTCGAGACCTAAGAGGCGCTGCGACCACCCCCGCCTGAGTCTTTGAGGCCACAAGATGCACTCCAGATGATTGAAGTTGCTACCTGAACCGAGGTTTATAGGCCCTAAACCCTAAACCCTAAACCCTAAACCCTGGCAGAGCTCAGGAGTCGTGGACTCGCTCCTGACGCTCTTTGAGTACGGCCTGAAGCTGGCTTGTGGGATCCTCGGCAGCCAAGCCCTCAACCCCACAGTTTCCAGGATTTCTCGCCTTTCGAGTTTATAGGGTTTAGGCTTAGCGCTTCTGCATGGTTTTGGGAATGCCGTCTCGGCGTCTCGGGATTGGGGCTGTGGCATCTTGGGGTTAGGGATCGTTTTACTCCAAGGCTTCCTTCGGTCATTCTCATCTTGCTCATCGTGTTGCAGGGTCTTGGCGCTGCGACGTAGTGCAGTGTCTTGCGCGGTGTATGGTTCGGAATCTGCATCTGATTGTCAGGTTACGTCTTGGCTTCTTAATGATGATGATGGTGGTGGTGGTGATGATGATGGTGATGGTGATGATGATGATGATGGTGGTGATGATGATGATGGTGGTGATGATGATGATGATGATGATGATGACGTGGCTGCAGATAATGAGAATTCGCTGGCCTTGTGCAGGATGACAGGTGGCACGGCCTTTTCCAGCCAGTATCAGTTTCGTATATAGCTACTATTGAAGGTGATCACGCGAGAGTGTCATGCTTCACGGTACAGTTAATCAAGCAGCCACAGACGAAGCACTAAAGACCTCCAAACCAACTCTGCGTGCTGAACACCGACTTACTTGGAAACATCAACCCCTCTTGCTGCCTCCTCGCTGCTGAACTCTCTTTTCCGGTTTTCCGGGTTTCGGCTGATTGGCAAGAACAGGGATGCCATGTTTCTGGATGTACTGTGGAGGGACGTTGTATCCATGGGTTCTGGCTTCGGAGCGAAGACGAAGTAGAGAGCCCGGCGAAATCATGCTGTCATCGTATACTGTGTTTCTGAACATTCATGATCGTACCGCGCCAAAGTGAGGATGTGCATTTGGAAGATGCCCAGCGTGGTGCACATCGATCATTTCGCAGTCGGCGGGCCGCGGCCAGTATATTTTCTGCGGTTCGCACAGCGCCTTAGCGGAATTCAGATTCGCCGTAAGGGTACAGTAAAAGGTAGAAGCAGCCCTTTCGGAAAAGAGCTGATATTTAATATCACGCAGAAATAGCGCCGGGGTAGCAGCTACCGAAGGGTGGGCAGCACTCAGAAACAGGAACATCCATGGCTCCCATGGCTTTCTTCGGAAGTGTTCTTGCCGGTGAAGATGGTCATGTCGGTTTGGGGTTTAGGGTTTAGGGATTTTGGGTTTTGGGTTTTGGGTTTAGGGTTTAGGGTTTAGGGGCTGACCGGAATGCTCAAACACCATAATAAGCTGAGAGCTTTTGGAAATCGATCTGAAACTCCAAGCACCTGTGGCTCGTCATGGTGTCTGAGATTCAGGAAAGTGCGGCCTGTGTAAAAAATACCAGTTGTTTCTATTTGCAAGTGGCTCTGCTTCACTGAAATCTTGAAGCTCAGAGGGTTTCAGGATTGTTCCGGGTCCATAAACCCTAAACCCCATCAGAATCGCTTTCAACGCCGCTTCGGGGGCTTAGGTTCTTCGTTTAGGGTTTCGGGTTTTGGCCCGTCAGGTTTCGGGAAGAAGGCGGTTTCCTGCCTCTTAAGGATTTAGGGTTTAGGCTTTACGGTTTAGGGTTTGGGGTTTAGGGTTTAGGGTTTAGGGTTTAGGGCGCCTATTTGTTGAGCCCATGACATGAGCCCCAAAACCCCGCAACCCAGAGGCCCCCCTCCCGCAAACCACAGGCTCCCGGAGTGCTGAAGCTTCAGCACAATCCCCAAAATTCGACATTGGTTTAGGGTTTAGGGTTTAGGGGTTTAGGGTTTAGGGTTTAGCCCAGTAGCCCCGGATCATAAAAAGCCCTGAACCCCAAAAACCCACAAATAAAGGGGCCTAAATAACTACCTATGCTATTTTTTGGGGGTTCCTCATAATAAATATTATACTAATAACCCTGAACCCTAAAAAAACCCTCTACACCCCAGAACCTTGACCCGAGGTGGTCCTTGGCCGTCCCGACTCTGGTCTTGATCTCCAACAGGGCGTTTCTCGCCGAGCTGGGCTTTCGCGCCACGCGCCCCGGCGGAAGTATCTTCCGCACGATGCCGCTCCTTCGGGTTGAGAGGGGAACCCTAAACCCGAAACCCCAAACCCTAAACCCTAAACCCTAAACCCCAAACCCTAAGCCCAAAACCCTAAACCCGAGCGAGCCTGAGCAACACCGATGGTTCGGGTTTTGGTTTAGGGCTTAGGGTTTTAGTTTAGGGGTGTTTAGGGTGTAGGGTTCTGGCGTAGGTTCTAGGGTCTTAGTATGGGTTCACAAGCTTTCTGGACCCCGAAACGTACAGAAGCTTCCATGGCAGTAAACACCGAAAAGCACACCCGAACCCTCAACCCTCCAACCCTCAATTCCCAAACCCTCACCCCACCCGCAACCCGCGAATCCTTCACCCCCGAAATCCTCGAACCCTGAACCTCTAGGCCCTGAATCCCTCATGTAGGGGCCTTGATAAGAATAGAATAGAGTTTTAAGGGATATACCTTAAATCATGTTAGGGGCACGAAGCCCCCAAGCCCTTCGACCCTGTAGAACCCTTAAGAAACCCTACCTGTAGTCTCCATTGTAGTTCCTTTTTGGGGTTACCTTATAGGATCCTGAGTATAGACTTGGTTAAACCAAAAAAAGGAACTACCAATGGAGACTATAGGTAATTCCCTAAACCCTAAACCCAAAGCCCTAAAGTCCTAAAGCCCTAAATCCCTAAATCCCTAAACCCTAAACCCTAAACCCTAAACCCTAAAGCCCATTAAGCCCTAAGTCGGCAGGTTCCTGCGGTCACTGCCCTCCTTAGTCCTTGTCTTCTTCTCGATCTGGCTCGCCTGGCTAATGGAGGTGACACCGGTCTATGCATGGAGGTGGGCCCTAAAGGGCTTAGGTAAGGGTTCAAAAGGGGTCCCATACTATATATATATATATAGCTACCCCCCCCCTCAAGGATCCACCGTTTTCGTGTGT